AAATCGACCTTGCTAACCGAAACGCTCTTCTGTAGCTCAATCGGTAAAAGCACATCAGGCTATATGACGGTTCCGTATAGGATACAGGTTCGATTCCTGTCGGAGGACGCATATTTTCTATGAAAATTTCTCGGACATTCAGGTCGGTAAATGTCGTTACTACTGTTTATTATAAACAGAGCATTTACTTAAATATTTGTATCTATAAAAGGAAAGTATAAACTGTCTTTAAATATATATATATATACATATATATAACTAAACTCGTTTCGAAAAACCCTCGAATTTTTACAAAATGAGCCCCAATAATTAAAAAAAAGATTACATAAGGAGGTAATAAAACATTATATAAAAGCTCCTATTAACATAGAGACTAAAATTAACAATGAGGCTAGTATTCTAATTAATAAATTTGAATTAGATAACCGAGTTGAAAAAATAAATCTAAACACTTGCTTTATCACCATAAAAGATCATAAAAGTAATTTTATTAATAATCCGGAATATAGACTTATAAATCCTACCAAGACGGAATTAGGCAAAATAAGTAAAATAATTCTGCAGGATATATGTAAATCCCTTAGAACTCTCCTTAATATTAACCAATGGCAGTCTAATAAGGATTACATTAAATGGTTTGGAAATTACAACAAAAATAAAAAGTGCTCATTTATTAGGTATGATATTAAGGAGTATTATCCATCTATTTCAGAGAAAACGCTAAACGAAGCCCTTAGCTTAGCTAAAGAATACATCCAAATTTCTGATGATAAAATAAATCTAATTAGACATTGTAGAAAAAAACATTGCTATTTCACGATAATACATTATGGATAAAAAAAAAAGATAATATTAACGGTTTTGACAACCCTATGGGAGCGTATGATGGGGCAGAGGTGTGCGAGATAGTAGGGTGCCTGCTGCTCCATAGGCTTAATGAATATATAGACTTTAATAACCATTGGTTGTACCGCGACGACGGTTTAATCATAGTAGACAACAGTAACCCTCAAAAATGTGACAACACCCGTAAAAAACTACACTGTTTTTTTTAAAAATTGGATTCTATCTCGATATAGAAACTAATTTGAAAATCACCAACTATCTAGATATTACGTTGAATTTACAAAATGGCACAATATCCCTATATAAAAAAGAAAACCAAGAACCCCAGTATTTACACATAAAATCTAATCACCCAGCCCATATTATAAGGCACATTCCTAAAAATATTGGGTATAGACTTTCTACTAATTTCTCCAATAGGGACATTTTTGAGGCCAATAAAATAAGTTATGAGGAAGCCCTAATTAAGAGTGGACATAAAAATAAATTAGAATATATTAATATAAATAACCACAACAGTACTCAGAATAAACATAATAGGCAAAGAAAAATTTTGTGGTTCAATCCTCCTTTTAATTTAGCGGTAAAAACTAAAATTGGTAGGATATTTTTTAATTTATTGAAGCAACATTTAAAAAAAAAAAAACTGAGTTACATAAAATATTTAACAAAAACAATGTAAAACTTAGTTATTGTTGCATGCCTAACGTAGGGACTATAATAAATGGATTGAATAAGAAAAAAACTAGGAATAATCCACGTAGTAATCCTCCTACTTGTAATTGTAGAAACAAAAACATCTGTCCATTAAAGGGAAAATGCCAGCAAGAATGCGTGGTGTATCAAGTGAAAATTTACAAAAATAGTGAGGATACTAACCCCAAAACATACATAGGTGCTACTCAGGATAAATTTAAAAAAAGATATTATAACCACACAAGTAGTTTTAAGAATGCAAAAATTAAACATAGTACCACGTTATCTACCTACGTATGGAAAACCAAACAAGAAGATAATATAGGCCCCATCCTTAAATGGGAAATATTAAAAAAATGCCCAAAATATAAAGCAGGCAATAA